TCCCTAGGAAATGCCATGGCTGCTAGCCGCTGCTTTCAACGAGTCTTAGAACTGGATCATAAGAATAGTCAGGCGCAGCAAGAGGTAAGAAGCTTTCAAAATCTAAATATTCCCAGCAGATGGGACTGTCCAAAGGAGTGGATTGAAATGGTAAGCTTTTCACTTACAATTTGCAGGATGGAATCACATTGTTTGCAGTGATTGTTTACATGCCATGATGTAGTGGAAAAAATGGCATGGTGTCTCTGTATCAGTTTTCTAGTAAACTGTCAGGTTCAGTCGTTACTTCTATGTATGACTGTCTCTTCTTAGCAGAACAGCATAGAGGCTAAGCTGGTCTTTCACTCAGCCCTCCAGAAGAGGAGTGGTGAACAGTGGTAAAGGAGCATGGAAACGAGTGATGCAGCATGTAGAAGGTTGCTGCCTCTGCTGTATTTGGTATCTCACCACAGCATATGTTTTCCTGAGCTACCAATTGGGTCACTTGATTCCAAACTGATTTTAGTGCTGGAAAAAGCATGAATGTAATCCGTGTTATTGTTCCACAGCTGGCAGTAGTTTTTGCTTTGACACTTGGCCACTTAATGCTACTTGATGGCGTAGATCAGTGGCTGTCCTGCAACGTTTACTGTGTTTTCCTGTCTTTCAGCTGAAGAATGCAAGTACTGTTCTTGAGTATGAAAAAATAGCTGAAGTGGATTTTGAGAAACGAGATTTCAGGAAGGTAAAACTTATTTGATTGTTTTTGTGGCATTGCAAACTGGCGTATCGTATCTGGCCAGTCCAGCCAGATGCAGTTCTAATCCCCCTGCCTAGCATTAGCTGGGCCCTAATTGGATGTGCTGTACAACATACTTTGGCTATTGGAGCAGGATTGTCTTGTGAACTGTAATATCTGTGAAAACGGCAGAGCTCAGGTTCTCCTAGCACTGAAAAAATGCACAGTGAAGAAGGTGACTGGCTTAGGCTAAATCTCCTCTATTACTGTTTGCTTTGCATGGTGAGTGGAGCCATGAATAAGGTGTTTGATACAGATTGTGTCAGCAGCAGCATTTGATCACCCTTTGCTCCTAAAATGCAAACACAAAATTCTTCTTTCTCAACTAAAAAAAAAAAAAAAGGCAGCAGTCTCTCTGCCAGTATTATAGTGAGGATCATTGAAGGAGGGATTCAGATCTACTTGGGGCAAACTCCATTACTGTTTCTAAATCTTTCTTCCCAAGGGCTGTGACAGGATGCAGCTGGTATTGACCTGATGTAACAAGAAATGACAGCATGAAATCTGAAAGGCACCAAATACTTCTCATGTAACTGTTTCTCTTCAGTGGATGCATATATGGCCCAAGTTTGGCCCAGAAAGGGGATTTTCCACCACATCATAAGTTTGATGTTTTGCTGTCTTCTAGGTTAAGACTGAAATTGTGAAGGGGTAAATCCCAGCTTTGCCTTATCTGGTTATGAAGAGCAACTGGGATGTATAGTCAATCTGGCCTGCGTGTGTAGGAATTGCCCTGCCTGTGTTGCATGTTCTGGGCTTTTGCACATGTCCTTTCACTTCTCCCATCTCACTTCACTGGGGAGTCTTGCATGAAATGTGATCTTTGTTTCTGGAGAGCTGCTCCTTCCTCACCCAGCAGTCATGGGCTCCTCAGGCTGTAGCACAGTGCTTCCCACAGTGCAATCGTGATGTCATGGGCCAGGGAAGCAGATGAACCTTGATGGAACAATGACCCCGTTCTCGTGCAGATGTCCCCACCAGAGAATCAGAGATGGAAAAGACCTATTAGATCACCCTGCCCATAGCAGTCAGACCAGTGTAAGATCAGTCCCTGTACAGTTTCGTTTCGTTTCTTTTTTTTTTTTTATGCTTTGCCCAGTATAAACTGTCTCGATCTATTGAATTTCTGTCTCTCCTACATGTCTTGATAATGCAGGAAACAGAGGCAGAATTGTCTTCCTTGGCTTTTTCTTTAGGGCCTACAGTTTCAGAAGAGTTAAAGGGAAGGACCTTCTACAGGTGTCTCTTGAGTCTTTGCTGTGATTCCAAACTACGTCTAGTGCTATATTATATGCAAATAATAGGTGCCACAGATCTTTGTAAAGAAAGTCCTTAAAAAAAAAAAACTGCATATGAGAAAATTTTCTGATGAAATGAGTGTTTCTAGCTGCAGAGGAAACAGATGTCTGCACGCTTATCTTCCCGTTCAAAGACAAATATGAATTCTCAAGTGTTGTAATGTCACAGTGTTTCAAACTAGGCCTTTGGCTATTTGCTTTGTTCACGGTGTTTTTTCTCACATCAGGTTGTATTTTGCATGGATCGTGCTTTGGAGTTTGCTCCTGCTTGTCACCGATTCAAAATCCTCAAGGCAGAATGTTTAGCGTTATTGGGTCGCTACCCAGAAGCACAGTCTGTAGCAAGGTGAGCATCTTTAAGGTCTAGAATTTGAGTAATAAGTGGTGTAGAGTCCTGTAGAGTTCCCCCCATCCCGTAGCCCAGAAGAGATTTGCTTAGCTTAGTTTAAAAGTTCTGGAGTGAGGGGATATAAAATGGAAATGGTCCGTAGTGGAAATTGTGGTGAGAAAACAAGTGCATGAGTTCATCCCCCTTCGATTTCATCTCACTAGGAAACTATACTTAGGCGCAGTTAATCCCCATCAGTCCTGCTTGAGCAAATGCCTGTAGTTGTTTGCATGTCTGTACCACAGACTTGATAGAATAACTAAGTGTCTCGGCAGAGGAAGAGTGCTTTTGGAGCTCAGAAGGAAACTAGAATAGGGAAACATCTGTGTGGGATGTCGGGGGGAGGTTTTGTTTTTGTTTTTTAAATATATGCATGTCCACTGCAGTGACATCTTACGAATGGACTCAACAAATGCAGACGCTCTGTATGTCCGTGGTCTCTGCCTTTATTATGAGGACTGTATTGAGAAGGCGGTGCAGTTCTTTATCCAGGCACTCAGAATGGCCCCTGATCATGAGAAAGCATGTCTTGCCTGCCGTGTAAGTTGTGGATCCTGGGGTTGGGACTGCAAAACTATCAGGAGTCTTTTACCAGACCCTTAATCTGGTTTCACTGAAACAATCCCCTCTCCATCCCTCAAGATCATCATTTTGCAGAACTACATAGCAAGAGGTGTCAAGTTTTTCCCAAAGACAGCCTACTGCTTCTTTAGGTATAACTGTGAGTTGTTAGAAGATCTTTCTCCAAAGGCTGTGATACTCTGAAGACTGCCTCCTTCTATTCTTTGTTCCTTGATCAGATTAGAGAAAAAGTCAGTCAAAGTTAGAGAACTTTTGACTTTCAGACTGTCAGTGTTAGTGCATACAGTTTAACTTGCATTTAAGCAGTTTGTGCCTTTCAGGTTGCTCCCTCCCTCCTTTCTACTCCATTGTAGTTCTTTGACCAAATTTTTTCATCTATTTAGTTGTATAAGCACCACAAAGGTGAGATTCTTTTCATGTCTTTTTTTTTTTTTTAATGCATAGGTTTACTTCACTGTAATGTTCTCATCTTAAACATTAAGCTCCTTTATCCCTGTGGAGAATGCCTGTAACTGGCATTGGCTGTTCCTTGGTAGTTCTCTTTGGGGGAAGGCGAGATGCTTACGTCTCCTTTCAGCTGCTGTAGCGAGGCTGCAGCTTTTGTAGCCTGTAACGATGCCTGGAAACCAAGTTGCAACAGTTATGTTTGAGGAGCATAGCCCGGCAAAATAAGTTGCTTGGCGCTCCCTGAACCACTGAACTAATGTCTTACCAGGGTGTATTTCCTTTCAGAATGCCAAAGCACTTAAAGCAAAGAAAGAAGATGGGAATAAAGCCTTCAAAGAAGGAAACTACAAACTTGCATATGAACTGTACACAGAGGCACTAGGAATAGATCCAAATAACATAAAAACAAATGCCAAACTCTACTGCAACCGGGGGACAGTTAATTCAAAGGTAAGAAGTGGTCACCTGGGAGGTGGTCTTTCCTCTTGGGGTGTGTTCCTCACCACATCGCTTACAGATTGCAGACCATTATTCAGGAAAGCATAAGCTTCCCTGACTGGAGCAGCTGGATTATTCTAGTGCCATAGGCAATGCTTCAGGATTTTGTATTTGCACAATGTTTGGAACTGCTCCAAACAGCCAAAGAAGTTGACTCCCGAAGAAACGAAACTCAAGTACTCAGGCTGCCCAGAATGGGAGGGAGAGGAGGAGTGTAGTGTGGCCCTATCTTAATCAGCATTTAAGCATTCTTAGTTTCCTTCCTGGTAAGATTTGATGAGGTTGGGTTTTTTTTTTTGGGGGGTGGGTGGGTTTTTTTGTTTTGGTTTTTGTTTTCTTTTGGTAGGTCATCTATCCTGCTTTGGTTTTTGATCTAAAATAACCTAACCTATTGTTAAAACCCTGGGCATCTTCACTGTTGCATTTTGCACTGGCAAAGCTATCTGGAGAAACAGTCAGTCATGTGACACTACTTAAAATTTCCACCATGTGTTTCCTCTAGGCATGTTTCCTCCTCAACTCTCTGTGTGTTGATGTCTATTCTATAAGTGGGACTTTTTGATGTCCTCATTTGATCAAGAAGCAGGGGCTGCTCTCAAAACCTAGGAAACGGGGTGAGCCAGAGGCAGCACTAATGGTTATTGCTAGTATCTGTTTCGGTCTGAAAACAGACAATACTTTTTAATTTGTTTAATTTTTCTCTTAAATATTTCTAAACTTATTATCCTGTCTTGGGAATTAGTTTGGACACAGAGTAACTTGTTCTTCAGCTCATTCTCAGGAAGACCCTCGTTTCCAAGTGCATTTCTTTATAGAACTTTGTGCTGCTTCTTTTAAGAACTTACTGCTTCACTAGCCAAACTTCTAGTTTCTCTGGCGGGAATAAAAGCTTTGTGTTTTGAGGGGATTGGGAAAAAATTCCTGGACGCAGATACACAAAACAGTGACCTTTTTTTTCAAGATTCTTTAGGATCTTCATTTGCCTAAAAATACAGTGCTGTTTATCAGAATTTGTTCTCTGACTGGGATTTACTTAACTTGTCTCTGTCATTGTAGCTTAGGAAACTTGAAGAAGCAATAGATGACTGCACGAATGCAGTGAAACTGGATGACACATATATCAAAGCGTACTTGAGGAGAGCACAGTGGTAAGTAGACCTTTATCGTGGACATGCTGAGCAGGTTTGTGGGTAGGAACCTCATGCCTACAGCACTGTGTGGCAGGTATAACAAATTTGAGGCTTAACTGAAGTAGAAGGCTCTGTCTTCAGATACCCTGAATTTGTTCCCCTTTCTTACGTTGCCAAGGAGAGACAGGGGGGAGACTACATAGTTTGTCCTGCCTTCATGAATCTGCAGCTGTGTATTTTCTATTGTATTTAGGCAAAATTTCTTTTTAAGACTTCACTTGCTATTTTTATAAACTAATATGGGACATTGTTCTGTCTCAGAGCTCCTCTCTGCTAAGCTTTTTCTGAGAGGTTGCTGGGAGTAAGAGATCTTACCCTGACAGAGCTATTCACACCTCTGATGGACCAGGTCTTGAAACAGACTGCCCTGTTTCCCATAGAGGGGAAATTAACTGAGACTGTACAGTATTTCAGCCATAGGTAATATTGCAGTGTAACACAGTGAGGCTGGGCAAGTTGTGCACGGAATATTTGGGTCTATATGTCTCCCTTGTAACTTGGCACCAACCAGGGAAGTAGTCAGAGTTCTGTTCTGACTGCAGCTTTATTTGTTTTCCTCGGTACTGATTATTCTCTGGTTTGTGGCAGAGCTGCCTGGCCTATAGGAGAACCAAAAACATTATTGTGGCCTTCCTGTTATGTGTCCGTTTTAACTTATAACCTTCAATGTTCTTCTTGAGCTCCATCTCAGTAATTATTAAATTACAGTAATTAGTTAACATAACACGACTGAGGTTGAAATGCCAATAGAAGGTACGCTTCCCTCTCTGAAATGCCAGGATTGTCCCTTCTAATCAGGGTTGCTAGTGTATAACTCTGCACCAGCTTCCTTAAATTTTTACTGGCTAGAATTAGTTCCTGCCACTGGACAAAATAATTGCTAGATTGTCAGAGTAGAAATTGTGCTGCCAAATGAGAGTGCAATCTAAGCTTGGAGCCCAAAGTACAGGATCATGTGCGAGGTTTTCCCACAAATTGCAGGTGCCTGGGCTTCTAGTTAGTCTAGCTGTGACCCATTGTGGGTTCTTTTAACAGTTGTTCTTTCTGCAGTCTGGTGTATGTCTTCTCCTTAAGTCACATCCATCCAGAAAACTTGTACTTAAACCCCTTTTGGTTTCTTTCTGTGAAGTATACCTTGGTAACGGCTGTTTCTTTGCACAGTTATATGGACACAGAACAGTATGAAGATGCTGTAAGAGACTATGAAAAAGTTTATCAGACAGAAAAAACAAAAGGTAAGCACATTAGCGTTCTCTTTTTGTGCACATAAGCTTCTGCTGAACAACGAGACAAATGTTTCCATCTTCTTTTTTTTCCCTCCTATTCTACTTCATCTTGTGAGATAGGTACACTAGTGAGCGCTTAATTGCCTGATATGCTGAGTCGTTGCCCCTCACTCCAGTAAGACAGTATTGGAAAAATCCTCAGAAGCACTCTGAAATGCCTATCTCAGAATCGGGTGTTAGTTTCTCTCCCAGCATTGAATGCTGAGAGGAGAATTTCCTTTTAGCTGAAGCACTCGACTGGTGTTCAGAATATCGGGGTCTGGTTCTTGTTCTACCTCTGGCTCCTTGGGTGGCATTGGGCAAGTTACTTAATCACACTGTGCCTCTTGGTTTTAAGATCTTTAGATGTTCCTGATAACTGTGGCTGCTGAAAGAGAAGAAAAATATTTCAAATATGCACTTGATGCACAAGGTGGTAGAAACAGGGCAGCACTGCAAAACAAACTTAACGTTGAATTGGTGCTGTCTGAAATTCCCAAGAGGAGCTAGAGGCTGATGCCCCTGATGCCTTTAGTTAAACTAAAATCGCTTTAATAGCGCTAAGATTTATACCTGTGTTTGGAACCAGCCTTAAATGAACAGTTAAGTTTTAATTATCTATCTGACTAAATGAAGTGGGTTATTTACTTGTGACATTTGAATACTTCATCCCAGGTTGCCTCAATGTGTTAGTCTGTCAGCTTCTTTTTTACAGCAGGATACTGTGTCTGACACTAAAGCTGCTTTCCTTTGGCATTGCACTTCTTTCCAGAACACAAGCAACTTCTAAAGAATGCACAGGTAGAATTGAAAAAGAGCAAACGGAAAGACTACTATAAAATCCTTGGGGTTGACAAAAATGCCTCTGAAGATGAGATCAAGAAGGCTTACAGGAAAAGAGCACTAATGCATCATCCAGGTACCCAGAAACAGTCTTTTGTTAAAGCATGTATCATTGCTTTGATTTTCCCCAGCACCACTATGCAGAAGCAGGAATAAATAGGCAGTGGAATTTCTGGGAAAAATGACACTTCTTTTTTTGACCCCAGTTTTCTAAAATACATGGTGTACTGAATCGCCTGATTATCTTTTTCTGCCAATACAGACAGCTGCTCAGCATTGTCTGTATCTTCATGCAAGCTTGCAGTAGCTGGGAATGTGTAGCGTTTTCCACTTACGCTAGAAATGAGAGCTTCTCTCCTGTTATATCCCCAGACCGACACAGTGGGGCAAGCGCAGAAGTACAGAAGGAGGAGGAAAAGAAATTTAAAGAGGTTGGTGAAGCCTTTACCATCCTATCGGATCCCAAGAAGAAGGCTCGCTATGACAGCGGACAGGATCTAGAAGAGGATGGGTTGAACATGGGAGGTAAGCATTTCTTACAGTATTCGACTATGGCAGCCTTTGAAAAGATTAGAGCATTTAGAGTCTGCCTTCTCCTCTAAAGGAGCTTGGTATTTTTTTGCCTCCTGTTTGTAATAATCCTATGAATTGACTGTGTTTAGTTTCCGAAATTATTTGAGTGGTGGATTCGCCACGGAATGTTTGAAGCTGCAGGACGTTCTGGATTATGTGCTGGATGTTATCTTTGATTCAGCATTATATGTTGTGGGTGCCATTGTGAAGAAGCTTTTTCTTTCACAAGCAGGGTAAAATCAAATCATCAAAAGGTTGTGGGTCCCCAAATGCTGCTTATCCAAAATTAGTATGTCACCCTACGACTGAAGCTGTCTCTCTGGCAACTGTTCCTTTTGCCTGTTTTCCGTCCCTTCCAGTGGCCTCCGTCCGCCGCTGTATAGCGTTCTGTGCTCCCGCCCTATAGCGGACAAAGCAAACTATTTGTCTGCAGCTTTCTGTCCCTCTGTAAAATGCTTTATTGGCCCCCAATTAAGCAACAATACCTAAATTGTGGAAAATGTACCTGGCTGTTCAAATTCAGCTCACAACTTTTTTTTTCCTCCCCTGTAGACTTTGATGCAAATAATATCTTCAAGGCCTTCTTTGGTGGGCCGGGTGGCTTCAGTTTTGAAGGTAGGTGAAAGTGTCCTTCCATCAGCTTTGAAATGTGAGTATGTGAATCACTTAACAGGGCAGCTAAGTTTGCCAGAGGTGTGCTTTGACATTTGACTTTTCTGCATAAGGGCATCTAGGAGCACTTGGAAAGTTTTGTCTGCACAGCATCCCAGCTGATGGCTGGTTCTGATGCCTTTATGTTTGAAAGTGGCAAAACCCAGAGGTTCTCTTCTCAAGTAGTGTGTGTGAGCTTTGGCCATCTAAGTGGTGCTTTGCTGCTTAGGAATAGTTGACCATAACTTGCATACAGTTGCTAAAGCTAGAAAAGATGATTCTTGGTCAGAGGTGCTGCGCATATGTATCACTCGGCTGTCTCCTTTTAATTTCATAAGACTGTGAATCCCTCTGAGGGCCTCTGCCTTTAGATGTTTTGGAGTGACTGGTGGCAGTGGAAAGCTGTTACTCAGTGTGCCTTCAAACCTCATGGGTGGTTAGGCTTTCTTCACGCCCCATGGAGTAAATGGCTTTATACAGCACTGAGTGAGCTGTCAGTGCTTAGCTAGTATCAATACCCCCCCCCCTTAAGAAACTGCATGTACCTTAAGGTCATTTGGTAAGGGAATTTTGAGAAGTCTTGCATACTTTGTGTGTTATTTACCTTCGTCCTCATAAATCTACCTCCGAGTCTCCCTTACCCATATTAGCAGTAGTCCACTCTTTTGGCTGTTAGGAAAGAGCAGATCTTTGCTATGTATTTCTACTTGTCCAAATGTTTTTGTTTGAATTAAGTACTTGATTGGTATCAAGCTATTGCAGGATGTTATTTAATAGTCATGTCTTAGAATTTTGAAGGTGCTAATATCTTTCACTTTCTTTTTCAGCTTCTGGGCCAGGAAATTTCTTTTTCCAGTTTGGCTAAAAAAAAAAAACCCTACACATACGTGATCTGCTTATTTTAACCTTGACTATGGACATACTTAGACTCCTTCCTTCATCATGTCTCATTGTACTTAGAGCAGTTTCATTTTCTCGGTTGGAGACCTCTGTTTTGTGTGCTTTTGTGTGTGAAGAGGAAACCAGCTCGGGGAGGGGAAGGCTTGTGAATTTTGTTTTACTGTTAACTTTATTAAAAAAAAAAAAATAAAGCTTTGAATCGTTTGGTCCCTCCATGCTGGCCCGTACTTTCAGACTGTTCCTGCTTCTCAACAGAGGGGATTTCCTTGAAGTCCTCTTCCTGGAATCTTGACTTGTGAGAGGGTGAAGTAATCTCCTGCTTTGTTTCGGCTGGCTCCAAAGTGCAGTGTGGCAGCATGCCTAGGGTTTGTAGCAACTTGTAAGTTATTTTAATCTTCTGAAAGTATTGCTAAGATTCAATCAAATTTGATACAATTGCTTTTTTTTTTTTTTCCTTTCCTTTTTACCTGCCAGCTGCCACTTCTTTTTTGCCATGGTTCTACCAGAACGGTACACTTGGGCATTAACTTAAATGATAGTGTGTGAGCTTAACACTTTCATATCAGAAAAATGCCCCTTTGGATTTAAAAGGGCAGCTTATGTGAGAATTCCCTGTGATGCAGCTAGAATTAAGGGCTTTGTGTTTCCACTCCAAGAATTGTCATCTTTAAGCGAACATTTAACTTTCTCTGGGCTGAATTTCTTCACTGTATCTTTTTTGATTAATCCACTTGAACATTTGATACTTGTGCTAAAAGTTGAGTTTATGGTTTAAGATTTTCATGTTTGATTTCATGTACTGATCCATAATGTGGATGAGTCTTTCTGGCTTTGAAGACATACAAAGTTATATTCAGGTTATTAACTGAAAATGGTTACTCTGTGTGTATGCGGCAGTGTGTTCTCATAACGTTTACAGGAACTGTACAAATATGTTAAATTAGTCAAGTAGTTTTCAAATAAAAGTAATTTACTAGTTCAAAGAAGCAAGAAAATGCAAAGTCAAACTTTGAACTGACAGTCTGTAATTTGCTTCTCTTGCACAATGTCAGGACAAGTGCTGGAGCGATGCGGTTGAAGCCTGGAGCTGTGTGCAGCTGCACCATCTCGAATTCAGAATGGATTTGGTTTGGTGATACTGGTTGGTTTGGTTAACAGGCAGTAGCCTGTTAACATGAATGCTGCTTATTTTTCACCATAAGTGTAGTGTTATAGCAGGATCTCGGCTGAGGAGGACGCTGCTTCCGGAACTCTTCACTTTCTTCTATAAAGTGAAGAGATAAAATGGAGAATCTTTTTTTGACTAGATGCTTTGTTCAAGTTAAATATTATCTTTAAAGAGTTTTGGAGCTTAGCATGTGGCGTTAGATCTGACAGTACTGTAGGAAACCTTGCAGCAGAAGCGAGGTTTGTGCGTGTTAGCGCTCAGCAGCACCAGTGTGAAGAGGAAGAGTCTTTCAGAGGCATTGCTGTATCTGGAGTTTCTTAAAACTGACCTACTGTAGTGTAGTGACATTTGGAGAGCTGAATTTTGCCTGGCTGAAAAAGACAGACATTCTTACGAGTACATGCAGGACTTTTTCCTAGAGAAACCTGACACTAACTTCTATGTAACATCTGACCTAACTTTTTACTGCAGGAAAAAATAGATTGCAATGAATTGATTGCATGAAATCCTTCTTTTGAATGCTCATATCTCTGTCTTCCTTCCTTCCGAGGGCTGTACTTGTCCTGTTCCGTTGGACAGAGTAACTAGGCTGCAATGCAAGTTAACTTCATTTACAACAGTTGCAATAGAAACATGTGGTGCTGCTGCCGCTGAATACTACAGTCCCGAGGCATCTAGTTCTTTGTCAGAATTTTTGACAATCCGCTTTCGTAGAGGGAAGACTTAAGGGCTTAAACTTTAGTGCTGCAGAGCAAAGGAAGTATTTTATAACTCACTCAAGAGTCAACTTTTAAAATGAGTCGATGTTGAATAATATTTCCAAAAATAGACTCTTCAACATTCATTCTAACTTCCTTTGCACCAGTGTAACTTGATGGATTTACCCGGATTGCACTGAGAGCAAAATAAGGTCCTGGCATCTTTTAGACTCTGGAACAATAAATATTTGGAGAATTAAAATACCAGTCTATGCATATTGGGACTTCTCCAGTTCTCATGGCACTTGTAAATCAGAGTTTACAGGACTTATTCAGTGGGGCATTCTCGATTCATAATGTATTGTCTGTGTGTATTAATATTAATGTACAGTTTGGAATTTTCTCAGTCTTTTATCACATGCAGGGATGTATCCTGCATTTGTCAGTGTAATTTTTTTATTTTTTATTTTTTCTCCCCTCTCCCCCCAGTTAGGAAAGATAGGCTTCCTTCTCTCCAAACTTTAAATGAGACCGTTCTTTGGAGGACAGAAGTAGAATGCTTCTGAGGGCTTTTCTTCTGAGAGAGGAAAGGTAAACGCAGATATTTATGTAAACCTGTACATGAATGCATGATTTAATGTAGTTTAATATTAAATATGATGAGTGCCAAGAGTTTTCTAAGGAGCTCTATTATGTGATTAAAAGCAAATGCAAACGTGCGTTCGCTTTTGCAGAGTGCATTACAATGTTAATGGAATTCAGTAACTATCCCGTTACCTCAGGACAGTAGCAGGGTGTTGTGATACAGGTGCATTGACGTTGTAACCTCCATCCTGTCTTAGCACAGTTTGGAGATACGGAACTGTGTTTCTTTCAGAAAAAATCTGCTTAGATGGGCATTGTTTAAAACATTGCCTTTCACGCTGAATAGTCACAGAATGGTATTTATGGGTTGTAATTCATCTGTAGCCACAGGGAACCTTAATGCTATTTTTTAGCTGCTACCATTTACACACCTCCCTGGCTTCCTCTGGCTTGATAGGAGCACCAGGTGTAGGAATTTGCCCGAAAAATGATTAATAAATATCTTAAACTTACGCCTGTGCTTTTTCTGAAGTAGGTGATAGGAGGTTGCCGTAGGTGATGCTCTTGAAACACAAGCATAGGAGGATATACATGGATCAAGCCTTATTCAGAGGTGTACTTTTCCCTTTGACGTGACTACAGGGTACAATGTGAACTTTGCATGTGGAAAGAATTGACAGTAAAGCGTCTCCTTTTAATGAAAACAGGTCTTTCTGGAAGTCAGTCTTAATCATTACTGAAAGGTTTCTTTTTGGCGTGACAGCAAGAGCCTTAATAGTCAACTCTAAAATGTAACTAAAAATGTCACCGGGCTGTTTCCCATCTGCAGACAGTGTTCCCTGCTCTGCCTGGTAAATAGTTATATTCCCTTGTCCTGAAATATAGATCTGGAGCAGCTGTGGATTTCTTTCATACTTGTTCCTCTGGCCTGCTGCTGATAGCAGTTACCGTAAAGATGGAGCCGGTGTGGCTAAAAGACCAGATTGTTATGGAAGGGAGGGGTCTCTTAGCAGCAAAGTGAAAGTAATTGCTATTCAGTGCTCAGTAACTGAATAATAGAGTAGCTGCTGACTTTGTCAATAGAAGGTGCAAGCTGCAGAAGAACTGTGCATATGGGGAGTTTGGCTGTCAGCAGAGCAGCCTGTGCAAAGTTAGGCTAAGCTGTTGTGACTCTGTCTAGCATTTGCCAAAAGATAAGGAATTGTTTAACTATTATGCTCTCCCTCTAATGTTCCTTTGCTTGTTTCATGATACTTGTAACCTCTGAGCTGCTGTAGGGCTAGTTTCAAATGGTGAAGTGCAGTTGCATTCAAATTAAAATGGAAGGAATTTTATGCTTTGAAAATGAAAACGTGCATCAGTTATGTTAGTGTTGGGAGATACTTGCATGTAAAATGGTCTGGCCTCTAGACCACAAAGCCCGGTGTGGAGTTCTTCTTGTTTTTTGTTTTTTCCATGTGTGGATTTACTTTTCAAATCTGATGCTCTGTTAGCTCCACCCTTTTGCAGGGGAGCACTGTGCGAGTCTTCTCCAGATATACTGAACCTGGACTTGAAATCAGCTGTAAAGAACATTAAGATGCTTCTGGCTGCCCCCTTTGACAGGCTCTTCTAATTGTTTCTGCTGCACATGCCACATAGGAAAGTACATGGTTTTGTTTGTGAACTTGAGAGTTTTGCTATAAAGCTGGATTCTTAGTGCTAAAGGCTTTTGACTGTTTTGTAAATACGTGCATTAATGCAAATTGAGGGGAGGAAAAAAAAAAAAAAGGTTTAGGGACGACAATATTAAGTAGCCATGAATATTGCAAGTCCCTTGGAGCTCTTTTCCTATCAGACTAGGATACAGAGTGGAAGCTATTGTACTGTTTTGTTTCCGATACGGAAACTCACTTGGTTGTTGTGCCCAACCGTAAGGGCTGGTTTCTGAGCCAGCCTCGTGTTGGATGGCTGCGCTCAGCCACATCGGTCTTCAACCAATTGAATGACCAAAGCGTTTGGACCACACAGTGGTTTGCTGTTCCTTCAAAATTACTCCCTCCATTTCAGTACTAACTTTAAAAACTTCCCTTATCTTCAAGAGGATGTTTTCACCCATTTAAATTTGTGCCTTGTACCCTCCCCTCCCTTAGGGAAAAAGATGGCTCATATATTGCACCTACTTTAGTTTCTCCAAGTAGTGCTAAGGCCCATCTCATTCTCTTATGGTAGAGCTATAACCAATTCTGAAAGGTGACAAACTTGGTGATAGCAGTTCTGTGACCCTCCTTACACCTAGAGGCCATTCACGCACAGCAGCTATTGTATTCCAGAGCAGATTTCCATATTGTACCTGTTCACCAGGGCGGAAGGACCTGTGCTTGGCTGTGAAAGATGGTGTGTAATGCTTTGGCCTTCCTTGCCTTCCCCTAGTTTTCCCCGTGCATGCAGAGTTGGGGACAGGATTATCCTTTCTTCTTGGACTAGCACTAAGTAAGTGTACACTCTAGCATAGGTCTGACCTGGGAAGGAAAGCCCTCGTATGAAGCTTTTTAGGTAGAGTGCCAAGATGAGTGCATAGTCTGCAACGTACCTTTCTGAACTCAAAGCTTTGGTATTATCAGTGGTGGTTCAGGAATGCAGTAGCTCACTGGGAACTTGAATGCTGCCTCTGGCTGGGTATGCAATTTGACTGTAGTTCTGGCATAGCTAATCTTATGTTGATTACCCCATCTTACTTCCTGCTTTCACTTAATAGCTCGTGCTTCAAAAAAGAATATAGAGCGTGAAGCAACGTTGGGGGGGGTTGAGTGCAAAACAGCGAACTGAACACCTTCATTGCATGCATATCTGCTTTGTTGTAAAGACATTAAGGAGTAGTCAAGACAAAAACAGACACTGATGTGAAACCAGCTTGGAGAGGACGCTAGACCCTGTGCTGTAGTATTTATCTGAATTGAAGACAAATTCCGAATGTTTACCTCAGTGTAAATACCTTTCCATTAGGAGGAACGTGTACCTCAGTGTAAGTTACCTTTCCATTAGGAGGAAAGGAATATTGCATGGAGCAATCAATATTCCAGATTGCTTTGCCAAACACTTAGTCCTCTCTAAGGCAGGCTTCACATTAGTATGAACACTGTCCCTCTTTGGACCCTTACCTTTCTAGGATGTGAACGGTAAAAATGTGAATATTTGTTGTTTACTTCATTAGGCATAATTCATAATGATGTGTTTATATGAAGAATATCACAGACTGAAGCAAAACCATATGCAATTGGTTTACTTTATTATAAACTGTATATGATGTACAAACTAATAAACACTTAAATGACGACAGTCTCACTGTTGTTCTTGAACAGGCAAATGAAGTAGATATTCTAGCTGCGTATGTCGGTGCTGGATGTAATCTGGAGCGTTGGGTTATGATACCAGAGCACTGAAAGGAGAGGGGATTCAGCCTGCTCCTACCCTGTTGCAGGAGCTGTTCGGCTGATGCTTTAAAATGCTTCTTTTTTCTTTTGATAGAATAAAGCCATATATGATTTTTCCTGTTAGGAAATGCCTAAGGTGAGCATCAGGCACTCCCAACTTTGCTGGTGGCTTTCTCAAATAGTTTCTAACAAGAGCTAGCAACTCTTATTCTGTTGAAAGTATGGGGGGATTACATGTTTTGGTTTTTGGATTGTTGGTTTGGGGTTTTTTTTGAAGGTATAATGGGAATTTATTCCATCACCCATCTTTTTGAAACAGCAGGAGCTTTTTTGCTTAACCAGCAAGCTTGCACAGTGTGTACCAGATTAGCCCCAAAGCGCACCTGGCTTCTGTTTTAAACAGAGAGGAAATGTTTCTTGTGCAGCGTCGGGCTTGGTAAGCAATGTTTTCGATGTGTGCACGGCTGCTGATAAGCTGTGTCCACATGACAGCTCCTTTGCAGATACGAACCCAGCACATGCTTTTCAAATACAGTAAGCATTTACATATTAGTACTGGATTAATTTCGATATACAGTTCACCAAACACTGAGCCATAGCATGAGCTTAAACTGTTGTTCTGACCTGAATCCCATTAGTTGTGCTAAGTGTATAGTAAGGTAACGGCAATATGTGACTAACTGGCAAAGAGTTTCACTTAAGAGCAAAAACAGAAGCTGCAGTAAGACAGACTTAACAGAAGAGTTTGAACATTAAACAACCAGCTGAAAAAAAAATTAGATTTGAGCGGACTTAAGTTTTGTTACAGTACCTCCATTTACTTCCTAAATTACAATGTTACTTCCATCCTAACTTTTAACATTCAAGTACATTAGATAAATGTAGTAAAATCTTGTTTGAAGTACAGTTCTATACTTCAGACATGATTTTAGTTTCTATAAAATAAGATGGAAAAGACCCTAGTTCATCTCTTCCATTCCCTGCCAAGGCAGGATTGTTCCTACAGGATAAGGACACTGGACAGTACTTGGTCCAGCCCAATTTGACACATGCTTTGAAAATGACTGGAGCCATGTTACAGGAACTGAATAGCTCTCCTGATACTTAGCTTGTTTCCCTTTCTGGGACTTTTCTTTTAACCCATAGTAGTTGTCCTCAAGACATCTTCTGGCAATGCACTTTCCTTCTGTCCATGGAGGCCTTCGCACGCTAATAGTGAGCATGAAGCTGGGATAGCCCAGGCCTGGGCAGCCACGTGGACGCGAGAGGCTGGGCTCTAACCAAGGCTTTTGGATACCCTGATGTCCTTTATAATTCTTTGCTCTTAGAGACTAGACTACTAAGTAGTAACTGTCATGTTTGACAGAAATTACCCATAATTGGGTAATTACCTTACTTTTTTTTTTTTTTTTAACCTAGTAATTCAGCTACCAGAATTGCTGATATTAGTCTCTCAGCTTTGGGAAAGGGGGGGAGGCATTATACAGTTCACTTCCCCTGGCTTCAGACCTGTTACAGGCTTTGGTCTGCCACTGCTCAATCATATAGTACTGACACGTAACGATCTAACAATTGTGGTTCAGAGGGAAGTTAAAAAAGCTCATAGGAGATCTTCCTCTGAGGAAGCAGACAAGCAGAGCAGCACAGCTAGGTCTCTCCAAAACTCTTCCATTTAAAAAAAAAAAAAAAAACATTCAGCACTTAGTTACTGCCATATTTTTATCTACTTGACTGTTTTGGTCTATTTGGTTTTTCCTTTGTCAGTCAAGAGTCACTTCCTGAGGCCAATAAACTGTCTCCCTGGAGACATACTGGAGTTGGCAAAAGGACTTATTTAGTAAAGGTACAATTATTTCTCTTTACAATTTTAAAGGTTACAGGAGTTACTTGCTTTAAAAAACAAATGAACAAATGGTAATAAACAAACAAGCTACCCTGCCCATACTATTAGATGATGGTGCAGGAACTAAAAGCAGAGCCCCGTTTGTTGGTGCTCTGTGTAGGCACAAGTTTTCCTTTGCCGTAGTAACCCGAGAACGTTGCCCTCACATCAATCTTTTTAGAAAGCACAAGCATCCACATACCATTATCAAAATACTGCAGTTTCCCTCCTCCGATCTCCCCCACGTCTTCACCTTTGTTCCCTGCCTTTTCCAGTTTTACAAACTCCAGCAGATCGAGCCCAGTCTGGACTGCTTCTACGCCACTGGCACAGCCAAGGGTGATGTGCGCCCGGCTGCCTTTTGGAAAGTTGTCTGCGGGCGTTATCTTATCGGCATCTCCCGGCCAGAGCAGCAGCTGCTGCTCACTCAATTCCACGCGAGCTCCGACAGTTTTTGGTGTGACAAACAGAGCCGAAAGGGCCAAAGTAAAGCCTTTGCCGTAGGAAGCCTTCACAGCCTGGGGAAAGAGGGAAACAAGCCCAGAACACAGCTTTAACGAACTGCAAACAGGTAGGCTGTCTAGCAGTGTGGTTGGCTTTATTCTCCGCACGCTCAGGGTCTTAGCTGATCATGATAACCCTTGCTTTGACATACTCGAAACAGGGCATACAACTAGAAGATGGTGGCCTGACATTTCTGTCCCACAAATCCGGAGCTGGTTGTCCTTTTCCTTCATAAATTCCAATAATTAACTGGGTACTTGGACTCATCGGTTAAAGCATGAAATAATTTAGCTGTAACTACCTTAATTCATCATCATTCAAATCAAGCTGTTGGAGATGATGCTGGAAGTCAGGACTGCAGGAGGTGGTAGGAGTATTTTATTTGGACTAAAAGAAACTAGTCACTGTCTCCCTCACTTTTGACTTTTCTATTGCGCAGGCCACCAGAGAAGTGCTGCTATGCTGTGAACATGGGTGCTCTCTCTAAAATCGCCTCCCAACTCAAAGCGAAGCTGCATCCCCAACCCACTCCCTCAGGTTTGTGCATATGCTGCTAGGAAGGGGGAAGAGTCAGAACCCAGACACTAACTTCTTGTTGGGCATATTCCTCAGCTCCAGGCGCTTTTCCAAAATCCATGTATTTTGTGGTGCAGTGTAAGACTCCAGGTGGCCTCTTCACAAAGTAGCTGGTGAGATCTATTTTTATTTTGGGATCTTCAACTGCAGAAGCAACTGCAAATACAGGTAAACAAAGTTACTACTAAAAGATGACCTGCCCGATATCACCCTACAAGCCTAAGTCCCACCTCAAATTTCTTCACCAACTTGTCCTTAATGTTTCATCTTACTTGCTGCTGAAGGCTAAATAAGTAAATAAAACTGTTCCTTCCACCTAGGCTAATAGTGGATGCAACTAGACAACAAACTTCTGCACAGCATCATGGTTTGTCTTAACCTTGATGTTGTAAGAATCACTTAAGGGGCAAGATTGTTCCATCTTTCACTTTTCTCTTTGACTCTTCACATTAATTCTCTGTAGTCCCCTGCAGTAACCAGTGGGACGCTCAGCTGCTTTATGTACCACTGCCAGCATCCTACCTCAGCTCCCTACAGTATTGGGGGAGCTAAGTAGATGTCCTAAGAAAACTCAGTTTCATTTGTTTTTAACTTACAAGAGCAACTTTGTCAACTATGGAAAATATAGGGGCTAGTATTTTTAAACAGTGTTGTTGTTGTTGTTGCAAACTTTAACTAAAAGTGTCACTTCAGTGTAACTAAATGTTTGATCAACAGAGTAAAAACTTGATAAGATACTTCTATACATACAGTATTTACTCTCCTTTTTGAAGGCCTTAAGACTTCCAAGCTCATCTAAGAAGGCCTGTCCAGCCTTCCTCAGGATCTCTGAACTTCTTTTGCTCAAAAACCACCCAAAATACATGGGTAGGAATTCTTTCTCCAAGCTTGGTTTCATCTTCTTCAGCTCTTCCACTGACAGTTTCCATTGATTCTTTTCCTTAAGTTGCAAGCAATCTGTTCTCCACTGTGTTTTTGGCTCCACAAAGATGACTTTGTACTGGTATTTGTCAGCAATATCAAACAGTTGATCCAGTCGTTCCTTTTCATGGTGAGTGTCATCCAAAATGATAATGCTGATGTCTCGTTTGCAATAGTCAACTAGATCCTCATCAACCTTTGAATACTCTTCAGGAACAGTGCTTCTTATTGCAGGTACAATTTTATAGGTATCGACAGAAATCACCTTGCAGGCATCTTTATATCTATCTTGAATAGCCTGGGCCAGAGTGGACTTTCCACTGCCAGGCAGGCCTCTTAAAATAAAAAAGGTTTTAGATTCTTTAACCGTGGAGATGGTATCATCATCATCAAGGAATGGGTACTGCAAGCTTTCAGGCCTTTCTTTGGCTGACTGAGTAGACATTTTTCTAAATATCTTAGGCAGGAACGTGTGACTCTTCTTTGAAAAGCCTCTGTTCTGAAATTCAATAAGAAAATATTTTGTAGGCTAGCAATCCTGAGAGACAGCGTATTTCTACTACGCAACAGCAGACCTTTAGGGGGAGGGAGGAGGGCTGTGCTCGGAGGGTCGTGAACAGCTCTGGGAACACGTCTGTGCCACCTCGGCTGCCCTGCTTGGCTCACACCAGTCTCACAGCTGCCACCACGGGTCCCGCAGGAGGCACCGTGTTGTCCTGCCGCCTTCCTGACACGGGGGCAAGAGGAGGAGGAGCGGAGGGGCAGCCCCGCTCACCCTTCTGGCTCAGGCCTTCACTGGCCACCGGTGGCAGCCACAGTACCATCTGACATGGAAGTGCAAGTTTTACTGTCACGTGGTAGCAGCAGGCGCCCATGAGCCCCCGCAAAGCTGAAGCCCAGACAGAGCAGTTGAAGGGTCAAATTTATTTCAGGACATTTAAACCAACGCTTGCGGCTGCTCGTTTACAAAGAGACTGCATGCCATGGGGAACTTGGCCTGAAAAGGGGAAACGAATGTCCTGGGAGGTGTGACAGCTGCTCAAGTTTCATTGATTAATCCAAATAAAGACTACAAACGGATTTAAGCCGGTTTAGGAATTCTCCAGTCACGTAGGAAAGGCTGTTTCAGAGTAAAGCCTGCAAGGAGACTACATCATGTTAAGAATCGCCTTCCCTTTGCGCCTGGACGCTACACTGAACAGCAGCACCCTTATGCCTCAGAAGGGGGAATTTTGGGCTGGTCTCGTACAGAACTTATATTGCTTCAGGCAAAAGCAAACCTGCTCTTAGCATTTCCTGAACTGAAAGTTAAACCCATCCTCTCAGCAACAAAACAAATGCTTGAGCTTGACACCACCAAGCAAGACAGGAAAAGCACCAACCGAGAGCTGGCACTGTTCCTCCTTCCCCTTTTGCCACCAGATGCAATAACTGGTATCTAAGAGTAATTCTCAGCAGGACCTAGGAAAATCAGAGATTTGATGAAAACAAGGAATTTGTCTAAGGTTCTGGTAATGCCAATAGGGACAACCATCTTTTTGGTTAATACATGAACTCTCCAACTTCTCTCCCCAGCTGCATCCTTGCCACAAACCAGTCTCGACTCTGCTGCCTGCCACAACCTCCTGTTATTGAGACACGAGCTCTGTACCAGCAGTCAAGAAACCACAGATGCGATACTGAAAGAGCAGTATTTGCCACTGACCCAAAAATCTAGGGGATTTACATACTACATAAATATTCTGCTCGTGGCAGAAGAATACTGCTTGACTGCAGGGTGAGGACATTGTAGGAAAACCAACTATTTCAACTGATTAACTTCTCTTTCTACCCTTCATTCTAGAATTTGGAGCTGGGTTTTTGGTTTCGAAGCAGCCTGGGACAAGGACTGTGCACCAGCATTGTTTTCATGTTCGCTGTGCAGCAAGTCAGGCCTCTTGTGGGGGGATGACAAGCTCCAAGCACAGTCCTTGGAGCAGCAATCTCCCCGCTCGAGACTGGTGCGGAATTCCTGCCCCAGGAACGGGATCCAAGAAAAACAAGGAGCGTGCATCTCTGTTGGGACACCTACACTGGCTTCCCTGAGGGCTCGGGGTTCCCAAGTCATCATACAAGAGGACAAGCACTTTGGCTTCCTCCGATGCCTGTGGACGAGTGCAAGAAAAACAGACGCCGTGAGACGTCCCAGGAAACTGCTCATCCTCCAAGTGTAAGTGTTATGTTTTCGAAGAGGTTAGGGGCCTTTGGCCTGAGCGGGGGAGTAGGAGGAGTATCTTGACTTGCTGTTGCTGTGGCCGGAGGGCGAGGCGGCTACGTGTGCCCAGCACAGGGCTTGGCCTGTGACTGTGGCAGTCAAACTATTTTGCTGAAAGCAGCTGCTGGTGAGCAGCAGTAACTGAGGCTGCTTTTCAGATGCATAAACAAAAGAACAATAATAGAAAACACCCTCAGGACCCATTGTTTAGCAGCCAGCTTTAAATATAATGCTCGCCTTTATGAAAGGGGGCCGCGTACAGCGCGGCCGGACAATGGCACTACAGAGGCCGGGCTCGGGGGAGCGCGGGGCTCCGCCGGGCGAACAATCCCCGATTCAGCGCGACCCCCTCGCCCGTCCGCGACCCCACAAAGCTCCCGCTTGTCCCGGGCTCCCTCCCGGGGGCAGCTC